CGTCGCCGGTGTGTTGGAATCTCCGATGCCAACAACACTGTTTAGTCAGCGCTGCCGGGAACCCCTCCTGTGGATGTCGCGAAGGTTACGTCCTCGTGAGGGCAAGACAGTGCGAACCAACGTGCGCTGTATGTAGGACTATGTGTTGTTTGTCTCCATTTCCTTTTCTTATTCTTATTGTCTGTGTTTCTCTCTTTTTTTCTTTTTTTTTTCTCTCTCTCTTCTTTTCTCTTGATATACTACTTATGATTATTCTGTTCGTTTCTGGTTTTTTTTTTCAATCATTCCCAAGTTATGTTTGATTTTGCGAAGTATATTGCCCCCCCAAAAAAAAAAAAAAAATAAAAAATAATAAATAAATAATAATAAAAAAAAATAAAAAAAATAAATACGTTACCTCTCCCGTAGGTTGGTAATGGAGGCTGCCAACACCACTGCCACCAGTCCACTAATGGGCCCGCTTGCACCTGCCACTCCAAGTACCTCCTGGCAGCCGATGGCCAGTCTTGCGTGCGTGAGTATGACCGCAAAGAGAGATTTCATTTGAATGCATTAATAATTATCATATTTCCTCGCTAGATAATAAGATTCGAGCAATTACATGGATTAACTGCTTTCTGCATTTTTGTGGCTTGGAAAAGGCCTGTTTATCAGGCATTGGATTTTTTTTTTCATATCCTAAATACGTGTAGTTATACATGTAGACATGCGCATGCATTTATGTATGTGTGAGGTGTATGTAAACGTATATATGTATTTAAGCATTTTTGTATCATATTTGTGCATAATATTTACTTCGATTTTATCCTTGGAATGCCCGTTTTTTGTGTACATACTCTACATATGCATTAACATATCCATTACAATCGATCACCGTATCTCATCTGAATAACAATATAAATAACAATTCTAAAAATAACTATCATACGTCATTCACGGCCCCCGCTAGCCTCCTGTGCCATCAACAACGGGGGATGCGAGCGCCGTTGCCACAACACCGCCACGGGAGTTCGATGTTCTTGCACCAAAGGGTTTCTGCTGCACTCCGACCACCGCTCCTGTCTTGGTACGTGTGTGGGGGGGGGGGGGGACGCCATATACTGTATTCCTCTCTGTTATCATCCACTCAAAAAAAATTAGAGGTAATAAGGTTCAGTCTACAGTTGATTGAGTTATACAAAAATCTAATCACACGAACGAACTCCTTTCAGATGTGGACGAATGCGCGACTGACAACGGAGGGTGTGAATACCGGTGCATCAATAACTACGGCAGCTACGAATGCGTGTGTCCAACCGGCTACAAACTCCAGCCGGACGAACGCACCTGTCGGGACGTGGACGAATGTGCTGTCAAGGGCACCTGCGAACACATGTGCATGAATTCCCCGGGGTCTTATCAGTGCTCGTGCAAGGAAGGATACCAGTTGTTTGCAACGGCGCACTGCGGGGGTAAGTGCGCCCCTTGCTTTTCATCATCGCAGCCCACTAATGAGATAATAAAGATTTGTCTACCCTGCTTTCTTTCTATATCTCTATTTGTTTCTATATGTTTATCCATATTTATATCTATCTATAGTATATCTATATCTAGAACTGCATCTACATCTGTCCACGTAGCTATATCTATATAATACCTTTATCTATCTATAAATCTATCTAAATCTTTTTGAAGCCCTCTGATAATATAAAAAAAACTTTCTCACACCCGGTTCATTTCCAGACGTGAACGAATGCAGCGTGGACAACGGCGGCTGCAGCCAGGAGTGCATCAACATCGAGGGTTCGTATAAGTGCGCATGCGAAGCCGGATACCGCCTGCACCCGAACGGCAAAGACTGTCTGCAGACGGACAAATGCACGCCGCTGAGGAACCCAAATAAGGCGGAGGTACTGACGTGGTGAGAGGTACACGTGGTTTATCTAATGGGATTGTAAGGGTTGCTAAAGGGACCTGAAGGCAGTTGCTTTAGATGCAAAGCGAAGGGTTCTTGCCAGGGGACTTGACACAAATTTCATATTATTAGTAAAGGTATGTATTTTCGCGTTATTTGTTGTTGTTGTTGTTTTGCAATTACCGTTTTTAGTTATATTATTTAGTTTTGAATTATCAACAAGAGAGAGACGCATTATAGTTTATTAGCAAATATCCCCCCCTGCAGCATATCATGTTACATGATCACAATACCATACTTTTATTGAGATTTTAGCACTTTAATTAGCGATCATGAGGTCAGAGTCATATAAGTGTGAAATCCATGATAACATGTAGACATCGAGATCTTAGCATAGATTTATTTTATATGCATTATCCTCACGACCGTAATAGATGAGAGTCGGTGATCACCTCCCCTGGGATTGCGTCGCGAGAGAAATCAATTCGCCATTTCTGGTGTTCATCTCCTTGGCACTTAACAGAGGCGAGGTGTGTGTGTGGCTCCTGTCTCAGGCTCGAGTCATGAGCATGCAGATGATTGGGGAGGGGAAAGAAAAGGGTTTCCTCTGAATATCGGCAGAAGGATCATCGAAGATTGACTTGGGAGACGGATAGCATTGTATATTCCCTATTGCATTTGCACCATAAAAGACTCAGGGATTTCTTATGAATGACCCCCAGTAAATGTTGAGGAAAGGCGGGGGTTCATAGAACATGTCTCTTAGTCATGTGTCTTTATTTGACAGCTTTAAATATCTAGGAAGAAAAATGTGTTTCAAACACACACACACACACACACACACACACACACACACACACACACACACACACACACACACACACACACACACACACACACACACACACGCACACACACACACACACACACACACACACACACACACACACACACAAACACACACACACACATATATATATGTGTGTGTGTGTGTGTGTTTGAAACACGTTTTTCTTCCTAGATATTGAAAGCTGTCAAACAAACACTCACACACATATATATGTGTGTGTGTGTGTGTGTGTGTGTGTGTGTGTGTGTGTGTGTTTGAAAACCCACAAAACACAAACGAGATTTATTGAAATGAGACAAGTTTCGAAATCTTCCTAGACTTTATCTTCAGATCGAAGATGAAATCAGGAAGATGCATATACATTTGTGCCTATTTTTCGAGCAAATCGTATTCAGCGGGACAAAATAGCTTACACTTATCGCAGTCAGAAGTCAGAGTGATCAACTAGACCGGGAAAATCAGCCAGCTTCACCCCCCCCCCCCGCGCTCCCAGGTATCATGCTACCACCTGGAGGACTACGGTTACGAGGAGCGGTGCACGGTGCGCTGTCGTCCGGGCGCGCGCTTCACCTCAGGCCCCGATGACTACTACGTGTTCACCTGCGGCCGCCACACCGCCTTCAGCTGGACGACACAGGAGCCCGCTGCTAACGCCTCCCACCTTGCTTGTTCAGGTGAGCTGTGAGGAGAGCCGTCCTAGTAACAAGCTTTCCCTTATATGCTGTTATTGTGTTGGTATTTGAGGTGATAGTTTGAAAGATTAACTGTGAATATTAAGCTTCGTTTCTATGTATGGTTTAGGTTAGGTATTGGGTGTCATGGTGTTAGTTAACGTTCCATTATGCTAATAAACGTTTGATATTCACGCATGTATATACAGTCCCTTTTACCTAGCAGGTTCAGATCACATCTGTAAGAAAAGCAATACGGGAAAAACAAAACGAAAAAAAAACTAAAAAAAGAAAAAGAAACAAAAAAAGAGAAAAAGAAACAAAATAAAAAAGAAAAGCAACAAAAAAAGAAAGAAATAGAAACAAAAAACAAAAACAAAACAGACAATTCCATACCGTTAATCTTAAGCATGAATATGAACTCCTCTCTCCTCTCGCAGAATCTCAGGTCGAGCCAGGATTTAAGTGGTCGGTGAGGCTGATGCTGACGACCAGTGTTGCCAATAACACGACGCTCCCCTCCGTTGCCAAACCGCTCATGGACGCACTGACAGGTGAGGACTAAACGCACGTGGGGCAGAGTCGGTAACATCTCGGTTTCCTGAATTCATTGTTATTCTTTCTATCGTAGCTCGATCAATCAGTCAAATCAGTCAGTCAGTCAATCAGTCAAATCAGTCAATCAATCCATCAGTCAGTCACTCAAATCAGTCAATCAGTCAAATCAGTCAGTCAGTCAATCAGTCAAATCAGTCAGTCAGTCAATCAGTCAAATCAGTCAATCAATCCATCAGTCAGTCACTCAAATCAGTCAATCAGTCAAATCAGTCAATCAATCCATCAGTCAGTCACTCAAATCAGTCAATCAATCCATCAGTCAGTCACTCAAATCAGTCAATCAATCCATCAGTCAGTCACTCAAATCAGTCAATCAATCCATCAGTCAGTCACTCAAATCAGTCAATCAATCCATCAGTCAGTCACTCAAATCAGTCAATCAATCCATCAGTCAGTCACTCAAATCAGTCAATCAATCCATCAGTCAGTCACTCAAATCAGTCAATCAATCCATCAGTCAGTCACTCAAATCAGTCAATCAGTCAAATCAGTCAGTCAGTCAATCAGTCAAATCAGTCAGTCAGTCAATCAGTCAAATCAGTCAGTCAGTCCAATCAGTCAAATCATTCAGATGAATCAAATTCAAATCATTCAAATTATTCAAATCAATCAAATCACTCAATCCATCACTCAGATCACTCAATCAGTCAAATCAGTCAATCAGTCAAATCAGTCAGTCAGTCAATCAGTCAATCAATCAATCCATCAGTCAGTCACTCAAATCAGTCAATCAATCAAATCACTCAATCCATCAATCAAATCAGTCAATCAATCCATCAGTCAGTCACTCAAATCAGTCAATCAATCCATCAGTCAGTCACTCAAATCAGTCAATCAGATCAATCAAATCAATCAAATCACTCAATCCATCAATCAAATCAGTCAATCAGATCAATCAAATCAATCAAATCACTCAATCCATCAATCAAATCAGTCAATCAGTCAAATCAGTCAATCAATCCATCAGTCAGTCACTCAAATCAGTCAATCAGTCAACCAGTCAATCGATCAATCAGTCAAATCAGTCAGTCAGTCAATCAGTCAAATCAGTCAGTCAGTCAATCAGTCAAATCAGTCAGTCAGTCAATCAGTCAAATCAGTCAATCAGTCAAATCAGTCAATCAATCCATCAGTCAGTCACTCAAATCAGTCAATCAGTCAAATCAGTCAGTCAGTCAATCAGTCAAATCAGTCAGTCAGTCAATCAGTCAAATCAGTCAAATCAGTCAGTCAGTCAATCAGTCAAATCAGTCAGTCAGTCAATCAGTCAAATCAGTCAGTCAGTCAATCAGTCAAATCAGTCAGTCAGTCAATCAGTCAAATCAGTCAGTCAGTCAATCAGTCAAATCAGTCAGTCAATCAGTCAAATCAGTCAGTCAGTCAATCAGATCAATCAAATCAATCAATCCATCAGTCAGTCACTCAAATCAGTCAATCAGTCAAATCAGTCAGTCAGTCAATCAGTCAAATCAGTCAGTCAGTCAATCAGTCAAATCAGTCAGTCAGTCAATCAGATCAATCAAATCAATCAAATCACTCAATCCATCAATCAAATCAGTCAATCAGTCAAATCAGTCAATCAGTCAATCAATCAATCCATCAGTCAGTCACTCAAATCAGTCAATCAGTCAAATCAGTCAATCAATCCATCAGTCAGTCACTCAAATCAGTCAATCAATCCATCAGTCAGTCACTCAAATCAGTCAATCAATCCATCAGTCAGTCACTCAAATCAGTCAATCAGTCAATCAATCAATCCATCAGTCAGTCACTCAAATCAGTCAATCAATCCATCAGTCAGTCACTCAAATCAGTCAATCAGTCAAATCAGTCAGTCAGTCAATCAGATCAATCAAATCAATCAAATCAATCAAATCACTCAATCCATCAATCAAATCAGTCAATCAGATAGTCAGTCAAATCAGTCAATCAGTCAAATCAATCAATCATTCAAATCAGTCAATCAATCAAATCAATCAAATCAATCAATCCATCAGTCAGTCACTCAAATCAGTCAATCAATCAAATCACTCAATCCATCAATCAAATCAGTCAATCAATCCATCAGTCAGTCACTCAAATCAGTCAATCAATCCATCAGTCAGTCACTCAAATCAGTCAATCAATCCATCAGTCAGTCACTCAAATCAGTCAATCAGTCAAATCAGTCAGTCAGTCAATCAGTCAAATCAATCAATCATTCAAATCAGTCAGTCAGTCAATCAGTCAACCAGTCAATCGATCAATCAGTCAAATCAGTCAGTCAGTCCAATCAGTCAAATCAGTCAGTCAGTCAATCAGTCAAATCAGTCAGTCAGTCAATCAGATCAATCAAATCAATCAAATCACTCAATCCATCAATCAAATCAGTCAATCAGTCAAATCAGTCAGTCAGTCAATCAGATCAATCAAATCAATCAAATCACTCAATCCATCAATCAAATCAGTCAATCAGTCAAATCAGTCAGTCAGTCAATCAGTCAAATCAGTCAGTCAGTCAATCAGTCAACCAGTCAATCGATCAATCAGTCAATCAATCAATCCATCAGTCAGTCACTCAAATCAGTCAATCAATCCATCAGTCAGTCACTCAAATCAGTCAATCAGTCAAATCAGTCAATCAGTCAAATCAATCAGTCATTTATTCAGTCACTCAGTCAACCAGTCAAATCAGTCAAATCAGTCAGTCAATCAGATCAATCAAATCAATCAATCCATCAGTCAAATCAGTCAATCAATCCATCAGTCAGTCACTCAAATCAGTCAATCAATCCATCAGTCAGTCACTCAAATCAGTCAATCAATCCATCAGTCAGTCACTCAAATCAGTCAATCAATCAAATCAATCAAATCACTCAATCCATCAATCAAATCAGTCAACCACATAAACGTAAACACTCCTCCCTACAAAATCCCCACCCCCTTCGCCTGCAGATCCGCGCCGCCTTTGAAGTGCTGGTGTTCCCTCCGCCGCCTCAACGCCGGTGCCGCCACAGCTGTGCCCGGCGCCACGCTCGGAGGCTCATCCCTGGCGTCCTGGGCACCCTGAGGAAGACGCTCCTTAATCTACGGGAAGTCATCAGGTAGAGTGTCGGATGATGTGTGGAGGAAGTGTGGGGTTTGTGGTATATGTATGTATATATATATATATATATATATATATATATATATATATATATATATATATATATATTTTTTTTTTTTTTTTTTTTTTTTTTTTTTTTTTTTTTTTTTTTTTTTATGTGAGGTTTTTAAAGAATGTCGAAATGGAAGGTGAAAAGGTACGCTTTACATATACAAATATACACACACGCACGTACCCACACACACACACACACACACACACACACACACACACACACACACACACACACACACACACACACACACACACACACACACACACACACGCACACACGCACACACGCACACACACACACACGCGCACACACACGCACACACACACA